TCCCCCCAAACACAGCGGACATGAAGCCTCAGGATTCAGTGCAGCCTTGGTGCAGGCAGGACCTCCCCCAGCCCCGGCATTCTGCTCCAGTGACTCTCATGTGACTGTGAGCGCCTACTTGTTCATCTCTGGGATTAGAACGGAGCCCTGCACACTCCACTGAGCATGGGTGGACAGGGCTCACTGCTGAGGTGACATTTCCCTCACGTACAAATTGTACTAGCCTTGTGACGAAGAGGGTTGTCATGGTGGGGAGGGTGTGCCATGGTGCGTGTGAAGGTCAGGGGACAATTTCAGTGGGGCCAGTTCTTTTACATGGACTCTTGAGGTCAAACTCAGGTGGCCAGGACTACACAGAAGGTGTCTTTATTCACTGAACCATCTTGCCAGCCCTGTGTCAAAAGTTCAGTGATGAGGACAAGCTGGCAAGATGGATCTGTAGATAAAGTACCTGCTGCCAGCCCTGGTGACCCAAGTTTGATCCCCAGTCCCTACATGGTAGAGGGGAGAACCAGCTCCTGTCAAGAAGTCCTTTCCCTCACACCCACAGACACACATGCGTGCGTGCAGAAAGAAAGTGAACCATACCCTGTCAAAATGCCAGTAACAGCCATCACGGGGTGCCCAGCCCCAGCTGATCCATCTACAACACAATTCCCGCACCTCAGGCTCAGAGAACATCTGAGAAGAGGGAGGCAATGGGATTTTAAGACCCAGACAAGCAGTTAGTCTATTTCCCTCAAAATGTGAGAGAAGCTATATCCGAAATCTCACCAACATGGCTGCCTAACAAGACAGGAAGAGGAATGACACAGACAGACGTGCTAGCAGAGGGAGGAGAGCACCCAGGCCCCGCCCTAGACAAGGGCTCAGGCAGCTAAAGAACACTGAGAGGAGAAACCGTCTTCCTCGGGGAAGAGCCCCCAGTCGGCTATCCAACACCAAATGGTCAGCCCTGAAACCATGTGTGCAGATACACACAGCAACAGTTAAAGAAAAGGAAGCCAGAGGCCCTGGTTTTGACAGAGACTGCAAGGGATGGGATACACGGGAGGGGCTGGAGGGAGAAAAGGAAAGGGGGAAAATAATGTACTATTTTAATTTCAACTTTTTAATTTATAAAAAAATCTTTTAAATTGTTTTTAAAAATTAAAAACAAACAAAATTAGGGCTGTCAAGATGTTACAGGGCATAAGGGTGCTTGTCTTCCAACCTGATTCCAACCTTCATGGTAGACAGAAAAAAACAGTTCTGTAAGCTGTCCACACACACACACACACACACACACACACACTCACACACTCACACACACACATACACACACTCACACACACACACTCACACTCACACACACACATACACACACTCACACACACACACACTCACACACTCACACACACACACACTCACACACTCACAAACCAACATTAAAGCATAGCTGATCATCTCTGTTAGCCCAGCGGGAACAGGTCCCCTGATGAGACTTCTCTCCTCCCTCTGGCAAGCCGGGTCCTTGGCAAGGGCCCATAAGGCCGGATGAGCCACCGAGGGAGAAAAGCGCCATGTCAGGGTTCTCAGAGTTCCTCATTCCCATGAGAACTCGTGTGTTTGTGGAGCAGTGACATGGCAAAATGCCATCACTCCCATGCTCGTCCTGATTAGCTCATCCAAAAGCCTAACGCAACCGCTTCCTTCAGAAAGAACAAGATCGCACCCTAACATTGGCAAACCAAGACTCCATGAGACTACCGTCCTCACGGGATTCTAGAACCTCATGGGGTCGTAGACCTTAAACAGCAGATGGGCACAGCCACTTAATACCACGCCAAACACACGGGCTCCGTGCTGGCTCGCTCACCCTGGTCACAAGGCGGCTTCTTATCTTACTGCCCCAGGCCCACTGAGCAGAGCCCAGGTGCCTCATCATTTACAGAATTTAGAGACAGAGGCCCAGTGAGGTTCAGAACATGGTGTGTGGCAGAACATAGCCTCAGTTCAACACTCTAGACCACGCAAGCCCAGCCCAGCACACTGGGCTGCCCACCTGCTGCCAATGTATATTCAGATTTATAAATCCAAAATTAAGCAAGTAAAATATTTTTGTCTAGTCTGACATAAGATTTCTTCTGTTTTTGTTTGTTTTTTCTCACTGAAGTACGTGTTCAAGGAAAAGGATCACACTACACCCAGGGAAAACTTGTTTTTATGTTAATCTTTTAAAAATTAGCTGTAGTCTTGTACTGGCTAGTTTTTATACCAATTTGGCACAGTCTAGAGTCATTTAGAAAGGGAGACCCTCAACTGAGAAAATGCCCCTGCAGACTGGCCAGTGGGCAAGCTTGTGGGGCTTTATTTCATGACTGATGAGGGAAAGTCCAACCATTGTGGGTGGTGCCACCCTGGGGCAGGTTGGTCCTGCTAGATAAGAAAGCAGGCAGGGCAAGGCATCAGGAGCAAGCCAGGAAGCAGCACTCCTCCCTGGCCTCTGCATCCGCTCCTCCCTGATTTCCATGGCTGACCAAGTGCAAGCTGCAAACTGAAATCAACCCTTTCCTCCCCAAGGTGTTGCTGTTTGTTTTGGTCATGGTGTTTTATTGCACCAACAGAAACCTTAAAGTCATGGGGTTCTCAAGTAGTAGTCTAGACTCCAGAGCCCAGATCCACGCCCGCCAGGATCAGTGAGCGCCCAGGAGCTGGAAACAAGCTGAGGCCAGGGACAAGATCTCTGACACTTCCGCCAGTGTTTTCCAGCCATCAGAAAGAAAGTGTTTTGTAGCCCCAGTTTAAAGGCCATGATCAAAGAGCAAGGCTGCTGAGGGGAAACATGAGAGACATTTCCATGTGGGGGAGACAGGAAGTGTGTAGGCAGAAGGTGCAAAGGGCGCTGCTTCCTCTCGCTGCAGGGAGCAGGGACAATGTTCAGTGGTTGTGGTAAAAGGCTTGCAGTCCCACAGAAAGAGCACAGGAAATGAAAGATAACCACCCCGGAGAGGCGCTCTGAGCCAAAAGCTGCAGGGACCTGCAGGACACCCCTCAGTCCATACAGTGGGACTCCAGGCACAGGCTTTGACCTGAGTCAGCAAAACAAACCCTTCAGCAGGAACTGGGGAAGGAGCAATGCTGCATTTCCCTAACTAAGGGAACCCACTGCTCATCTTCCTGTGCCCAGGGACTTGAGAACCACAGAGCAAGCTAGCAAGCAGACAGCAAATTAGCAACCTCTAGTGCATTGTCATATTTGAACTCAAGGCTGCAAAGGTGATCTGCAGTTTCCTACTGTTGTAATTGGGGGATGTGGCTGCCAGCAAGGATACTTTGGGAAAATCACAACCCCTGAGACAAAAGCAAATCTGATACTGGGGAACTCAGTGCCTGTCCCACATGGCTCTAAATCACTGAGAAATGCAAACCTGCGTGCATATTAAAGGCTGTCGTGATGTCTTCCTTGACAAAGTTATTACTCATTCCTAGCTGACTTGTTTTCTTGAAATCTGAGCACTTTCATTTTTGAAATAGCTATCAAAACTAAACAAAACATTCTCCAGCTGTCCTGGTAAAGCTACCTGTGTGTGCATGAGTGTGAAGCACACTGGGCCTCTTAGGTCATCTTAGTGAATTTCTCCCCATGGTCCACAGAACCACTGCCAGGTTTTGCCGTTATATTGAACCCAGACATCCTAAAAAGCTCGCTAACCCTGTCTAGAACCTCTCTCCATCCTCTCTGTCTCCTTCAGCAGAGAGCTGATAAGAATGGAGGCTCAAGCTTTGCCAAACTCCCAAGTAATTGCAGGATAGCCAAGGCTGGAAACCAGCGCTCATGACCGGCGCATCTAAGCTTCTGTGTGCACAGCAATCACCTGGGACCTTGTTAAAACACAAGCTTTACTTCTGTGCTTGGGTAAGGCCTGGGATTTCCTTTTCAAATAGCTCCTGAGTGAGGTCAGTACTACTAATGGGAGAGTGCCCATGGAATAGAAACCTGGCCACACCTTCAGATCACCTAGGTGACTAACTGTCCCCCAGAGACCGACTTGACCCAGTGTGGCCCAGGCAATGGAGCTGAGCTCCCCAGGCTTTGCTATGTGCAGCTCACGGGAGGACCTCCACAGCACAGTGGAACTCAGCAGGGATGTTCCCATACAAGGCAGACTTCCTGCTCCTGAGATGGAAGCAGAGCTCAGTTGATACTCAATGCCCAGACTTCAGCCACCAGACCTGTATTCTAAGCAAGCTTTGTCCTTAATGAGATCTTCTGTTCTCTGTTCTAAGACCGTGATCTGAAGCACAGATCTGAGCTTCAATTCTTAACCTCTTTGATGGGAACTGGGATCTCTGAAGACAACTGTGTGATGAGACTGGGGAGCTCTGGAAGGCGACACGAGATGCAAATCTACACAAATGCACAGACACAGTCACACTGCACAGACACACAGTCACACTCCACAGGGACATAGTCTCCCATACAGAGTCACACAGACACACAGTCACACTCCACAGGGACATAGTCTCCCATACAGAGTCACACAGACACACAGTCACACACCACAGGGACATAGTCTCCCATACAGAGTCACACAGACACATGACACTTGTGTCACAGACACACACAGCCACACTGTCATAGTGTCTACCTCTCAATCGCTCTCCTCTCTCTCTCACGTGTGTGCTTGAGCATGTGTGCGGGCACACGCACACACTCTTGAACAAGCATACGCATGCACCTTGCACCCAGCTTACACTGCCTAAGGGACACACGTTCACCTTTCTCCAGAAGCATGTCCAAAGAGATGTGCCGAGAAAGCACACAGCCCAGTTTCTGACAAAGCGCTCGGTGGTGGTGGTGCAGCTCCAGACAGGGAAGGATTAGGAGAGGATACGGAGCTGAAGGGAAACAGTCTCCACACGAGAGTGAGGAGAGCATGTGAGTGCACGGAGCTGAAGGGAAACAGTCTCCACACGAGTGTGAGAAGAAAAAATGGCAGTTGGAGGCACAGTGAGGCTGCAGAAAAACTGTTTAATTTGGAAAGTGAGGGTTACACTTAGGGAAGGCTGGGTTCGCATTAACAGGTGTGCACTGTGAAGCCGGACTGGCGGCAAAGGGAGGTCTCTGGACTCCCCATTTCATGCCAAGTCAGAGTCATCATCAAGCACAAATCTGAAGAATCAATGTTCAACGAGCTGACATCTCAAGAATTCTTTTCCAGGGGACATCAAAGAGTGAACCTGAAAGACAGAAGCAGAAGGGTAAAATGTCACGCCCTTCCATCTAAACTCTCATTCTGTACTCACTCCTAAGCACAAGACAGCATTTCAGCCAGACTACAATAACCAGAATGAGGCTGACTGTTGTCACGAGCACTGTGTAGGAGTAGTGTCTATAAAGACAACGCTCACACCTCCTTTGACAGGAGAGGAGCTGGAGAAAGCAGCCTCCAGCTCTCCAACTCAGCAGTCCTGGTTCTCATCAGCACCATCGTCCTGCCCAGACTCCTCACAAAGTGCTAGTGCCCAGTGTGAGGACACTCAGGACAGAAGGAAGACTTCTCAAGACTTCACAAAGGGCCAAGGTCTTTAGAAGAAGTGATTTGACCTCCAAAATATATAAAGAACTCAACAAGTTAGACATTAAAATTCTAAATAATCTAATAAAAAAATAGGATACTGGACTAAACAGAGAATTCTCAACAGAAGAATCTCAAATGGCCAAAAGATAATTAAGGACATGTTCAACATCCTTAGCTATCAAGGGAATGCAAATCAAAACAACTCTGAGATACCATCTTATTTCACCTGTCAGAATGGCTAAGATCAAAAATACTAATGATAGATTATGCTGGAGAGGGTGTAGAGTAAGGGAAAACACTCATCCATTGCTGGTGGGAATGCAAACTTGTACAGCCACTTTGGAAATCAGTATGGCGGTTTCTCAGAAAACTGGGAATCAACCTTCCTCAGGATCCAGCAACACCACTCTTGGGCATATACTCAAAAGATGCCCAATCATATTACAAAAGCATTTGTTCAACTGTGTTCATGATAACATTATTTGTAATAGCCAGAAAGTAGAAACAATCTAGATGCCCCTTCAGATCCAACTGAAGAATGGATAAAGAAAATATGGCACATTTACACATTAGAGCACTACTCAGCAGTAAAAAACAATGACATCTTGAATTTTGCATGCAAATTAATGGAATTAGGAAACACTATCCTGAGTGAAGTAACTCAGACCCAAAAGAGATGAATATAGTATGTACTCACTCATAAGTAGCTATAAACAAAGGACATTGAGCCTATAGTTTGTGATCCTAGAGAAGCTAAGTAATAAGGTGAACCCAAAGAAAAACATATATAGACAAATCGGGAAATTGGAAACAGACAAGATCACCTGACAAAACTGGGAGTATGGGTGTGGGGGAGAAGGAAGGGTAGAATAGGGGAGAAAAGGAGGGTTGAGGAGGACTTGAGGGAATGGAATAGTCAAGATGGAGGAAGGACATGAGATGAGAGCAAAGAAAAGATATCTTGATCGAGGGAGCCATTATAGGGTTAGCAGAAACCTGGCTCTAGAGAAATTCCTAGGAACCCACAGGGATGACCCCAGCTAAGACCCTAAGCAAGAGAGGAGAGGGGGCCTGATCTTGACTTGCCCTGTAGTCACACTGATGATCATCTTAAATATCACCATAGAACCTTTGTCTAACAGCAGATGGAAACAGAGGCAAAGACCCACATCAGAGCACTGCACTGAGCTCCCAAGGTCCAGTTGAAAAGTGGGAGGAATGAGAATATGAGCAAAGAGGTCAAGACCATGAAGGGTTCATCCACTTAAATAGTCTATCTGAGCTAATGGGAGCTCAGCAACTCCAGTTGGACTGGGAAGGAACAAGCATAGGTCCAAACTAGTTCCTCTGAATGTGATTGACAGTTGCATGGCTGGGGCAGATGAAGGGGCCACTGGCAGTGGCACTGGGATTTATCTCTACTGCTTGTACTGGCTTTATGGGATCCTATTCTCTTTGGATGGATACCTTGGTCAGCCTGGATATAGAAGGGAGGGCCTTGGACCTTACACAAGGCAATGTGCCTTACCCTCTCTTAGGATTAGATGGGAGTGGGGGATGTGTGTGTGGAGGGAATGGGAGGAAGGGAGGAAGTGGGAATTTGGATCCATATTTAAAAAAAAAAATCTAATAAAAAAAAGAAGTGATCTCATTTTTACTTAAAGTAAGTTACTTTGGGTAAGATGGGGCATGGCTGCAGACATGGCTGGGTTGCTGCCCTTTCCTTCTGATACTAAACACTTGAGCCTGAGACCCCAAGGCCAGCCCACATAAAAGGAAAGGGGCTCAGGAAAAAAAGCATTTTTGGCAGTAGTTTTCAGAAAACTCAATCCCCAAAGATCAACTCTCCCCCTTTTGCAGTGAAGATGTACTTGGTGGGTATTCAAACAACAGGGTTCATGATTTCTGAAATATTAGCTCATCACAACTGGGCCCCGTGGACAACTCAGAAGAGCGCTCTCAACTGTTAACAGAGCAAAGACATCACAAACTGCCTGAGAACCTCCTCCCTGATCGTGAGTCAACCAAACGGACAATACCTACTGAGAAAGGTACAGGGAGGTCCCGTCTGTCACCCAGGCAGACACCTGGGGACACTGAAGACCACTGTCCACAGAGGTGAAATTAGTGCCGGGCAGAGCTCCCTCCTGGACATGCTCTTCCGCAGCAAGCCCTCTACTCAGACACCTGAACTGCCACCATCAAATCCATCTTTCCTGGATTCTGATCACCCAATTAAAACTGAAACCGAGGCTGATATAAATCAGACCACTGTGCAGAACTCCCAAGAGCAGGTCGGTCTGATCACGCTCATCTTACAAGGCCCCGATCGTAACGTCTGAAAACCAAGGGCGCTCCAGAAATCAACTAGGCTAACCCTCTCATCTTAGAAATGACAAAACTAGAAATTGACAGCTTGGACATTTTATCCAGAGCTGTGCTGCCCAACCTAGTAGCCAGCATCTACACAGATTCAGTAAAATTAGGGGAAGTTATGGCTGGGCTGAGGACGGAGTTCAGTAGGTAGAGTACTTATGGAGTACACATGACACCATGGGTTTGATACTTAGCATCCATAAAACCAGGCATGGTGACACATGTCTGTAATCCCAGAAGATGGGGGTGGAGGCAGGAGGATCACAAGTTCAAGACCTTCCTTAGCTATATATTGAGTTCCAGGGTAGCCAAGGATTCCGAACAGCCTGTCTAAAAAAAATTTAAAAAAATGAAGGAAATTAAAATTTATTTCCTTGATTAGGGAGTCACTTTTCAGATATCCACCAACCAATATGGATCACATGACTAGTGGTTACTGTTGTGGGTGGTGCAGACCCAGAACAAGGTGCCAGTAGACGGAGTCAAGTCTCCCAGTCTGCATTGCAGTACAGCTCTCCTGTACCACAGTAAAGATGCCTGACTCTGCAGAAACACCTAAGGTTCAGTGTCCATCTCTTCTTATGAACTTCTCTTTAGTTTTTCCCATTCAATAAAGAAAGCAACTTTAGTATTTTAACAAGCATAATTTAATGGGAAATATATCATATATAATATGATTATATATTATAACAATATATATTATAGTATATATATATATAAATATAAATATAAAATCATCCCTCAAAAGTTCTTGAAAATAGAGAGCAACAAACACCCACATTTAGGCTCCAGGAATCTACTCTGCCACTTAGCACCAAGGATTAAAGTCAACTGAAATTTGGCCAAGGCTGTTTCCTCGTGGTATAACAGGGCACACAAGAAAACTATGCACTGATGTCAAAGTGCACATGAAGCCAAACAATGTGGGGGCGTGGTAGCAACAAAACATTTTATAGACGGTCGTTTCGATAACACCGTAGATTTTATTATGAACAATCCCACTTTAAAGTTCCACCTTCAATGCCCAGACAGTGGAAATATGAAAAAAGCAACAGGAGAGAGAGAGAGAGAGAGAGAGAGAGAGAGAGAGAGAACAAAGCCCAAATGGAGTCCACAAAACAGAGACCATCATAAACAACATTAGTGAAAAGAAACTGTGATGAAGGCCAAGCCCCCCACTGTACAGGCAGGAAAACCAAGGCCTGTCACCACCCTTAAGGGCCTCACCCTTCGGGCTGGAGAGATAGCACTGACTTCCAGAAGACCCGGGTTCAATTCCAAGCACCCACACAGCAGTTCACAACTGTCTGTAAATCCACCTTCACACCACCAGTGCACATAAAATAAAGTTAAACACATCATTAAAAAAAATCTTTAAAAATAAATAAAAACGTCCCCACCCTCAGGAACCTGGGTGTGCAGTGCAGGCAGGAACAAGAGTGGACACTTCTAAAGCCATGTGACAAATGCAGAATGTGAGAGGTGTGGACCTGAGAGCCCAGACACCAGGGTGACAACTTCGGGTCCCCAGGGGATGAGGACAGGAACAGAATTCCTAGCATGGATCCCCTGAGCCAGGTACAGCAGTGACTTCGTGTAGCCCACACTCAGGAGGCAAAGGAGTGGATCGTGAGTTCAAGGGTAGCCTTGGCCACAGAGCAAGACTGTCTCACACAAAACTGAAAATAAATTTAAATGAGAAGAACCCATGGGTAACGACACCTGCTGAGTCCAACAACTTCAGTGCCAGCCCCAGGGCCCAGATGGCAGAAGGAGGGGCACAACTCCACGTGGTCCTCTGTCCTCCGACCACGTGTCATGGCTGCAACAGCCACGCCCACGACCACATCTGACTACCTCTGACCGTCTCTCTCTCTACCTAAAAAACAGAAGACTTCAGCCACCAATTCAAAGTCAATCGATGCTTTTAACTATTAGAACTAACTGTAAAGAATTCATCTCACTTTCCACCCCCCGAAGGGCTAAGGAGCTGAGAAAAGGTTACAGGACCCACTCATCAACTAAAAAATCAAAGATTTGTTGCCCACAGCAGTTCATTGTTGGAGGCAATAAAGGGTCTGGAATAAAGGCAACTGACAAGAAAGGGAGACCCCAGGAAGGCAACCCTGGGTGGTGCTAAGGATTCCTAGCTCAACACTGCCCACTGCTGGCCAGAATGCAAAGCACCCGCCAGTCAGCATTTCAGCTCACCTGAGCCTCTGCTGCCCTCCTGTGACTGGGAACGAACTAGCTTTTGCCGTTTCACCAAAATATAACTCAGCA